TGGGTCGCAGTGGGGTGCTGGAGCCTATCCCAGCTGTCATTGGGCGGAAGGCAGGATACACCCTGGACAGGTCACCAGTCCATCACAGGGCAGACAGACATACACACACAATCACACACAGGGGTAATTTAGCAAGTCCAATTGGCCTGACCACATGTCTTTGGACTGTGGGAGGAAACCCACGCAGACACGGGGAGAACATGCAAACTCTACACAGAAAGGACCCTGGTCGCCCGGCCGGGAATCGAACCCAGGCCCTTCTTGCTGTGCCGCCATTATTAAGCATATCATTGGTGGAAATGTATTTCAGTAAGAACCTGCACTAAAATACAGTTTTGACTCACCCTGTGGTCATTTGTGGAGCCTCTGAGTGATTGGCTTTGGGTTGAGGCTGGACCTGAGGAGAAACAATTCCAGAACATTCAATCAGTTATGAAATAAGAATCGATTTGGACGTGATATGATATAAATATTATCAATTTCTTGAAAGATAAACAGGATGTAGAATTGATATGAGAATGTGGTCACGGTCCCTTCTTATTGTATTTGTTTTGATGCATAAATGGCTCATTTCGAGCCACCTGTCCATCACTGTTAGTCCACTGAGGCCTAGTGAAATTTTATGGACCTCTAATGAATGACCCATGCTGCACTCATATCTTTTTTAAAAGAAAAACCTTTGTAAAAGGTGCTGGGGAAACCAACAGTTTGTTCAGTGACTGTATGGAATTGATCATAGATAGATAAACAGAGAGATAGATAGATAGATAGATAGATAGATAGATAGATAGATAGATACAAGCCCATTCCCAAAAAAGTTGGGACACTGCAAAATGTATATAAAAACAAAATGCAATGATGTGCAAATCATTTAAATTCTATATTTAATTGAAAATAGAACAAAGACAACATATCAAATGTTGAAACTGAGAAATTTTATTGTCTTTTTGAAAAATGCATGCCTATTTTGAATTTGATGCCAACAACATGCTCCAGAAAATTTGGGATGGGGGCAACAAAAGGCTGATAAAGTTGTGTCATGCTAAAAACAAAACACCTGGTGGTTAATTGGCAACAGGTCAGTAACATGATTGGGTATAAAAAAGCATCTCAGAGAGCCTGAGTCTTTCAGAAGTAAAGATGAGGAGAGGGTTCACCACTTTGAAAGACTGAGCAAGCAAATAGTGCAACAATTCAAGAATAACGTTTCTCAATGTAAAATAGCAAAGAACTTTTGCTTTTCATCATTTACAGTACATAATATCATTAAAAGAGAATCTGGAGAAATGTCTCCAAAGGCATGATTCTGTAGAGGAAATCACTGCATGGGCTCAGAAACACTTCTGAAAACCACTGTCTGTGAAAACAGTCCATCACTGCATCCACAAATGCAAGATAAAACTCTAAAATGCAAAGAAGAAACCACATATAAACAGGATCCAGAAATGCTGCCACCTTCTCTGGGCCTGAGCTCATTTAAAATGGACTGAGGTGAAGTGGAAAAGTGTCCTGTGGCCGGACGAATCAACACTTGAATTTTTTTTTTTTGGAAATCGTGGACACTGTGTCCTCCAGGACCACTCAGCTTGTTATCAGTGCACAGTTCAAAAGCCAGTGTTCATGATGGTATAGGAGTGCATTAGTGCACATGGCATGGGTGACGTGCACATATGTGAGGGCACTATTAATGCTGAACGATATAAACATGTTTTGGTAACATATGCTGCCCTTCAGACAATGTCAAACCACATGTATTACAACAGCATTGCTCCGTATTCAAAGAGTCTGGGTGCTAAAGTGGCCTGCCTGCAGTCCAGACCTGTCACCGCTGAAAACATTTGGCACATTATGAAATGAAAAATATGACAAAGGAGACCCCGAATTGTTGAACAGCTGAAATCCTATGTTAAGCAAGAATGTGAAAACATTTCACCTTCAAAACTACAGCAGTGTCTCCTCAGTTCCCAAACCCTTACAGAGTGTTAAAAGATGAGGTGATGAAACACAGAGGTAAACATGCCCCTGTCCCAACTTTTTTGGAACGTATTTTTGGCATCAAATTCAAAATGGGCATATACTTTTCAAAAAACAATAAAATTTCTTAGTTTCAACATCTGATATTTTGTCTTTTTAGTATTTTCCTTTAAAATATGGTTTACATGATTTGTATATCATTGCATTCTATTTATATTTACATTCTGCGCAGCGTCCCAACGTTTTAGAAATGGGGTTGTAGATAGATAGAACTTTATTGACCCTGAAGGGAAATTGCAGAGATCAGCTCAACACTACATGACTGGATCTATCTTTACTAAACAATAGTTTCTACAAAACGACTGAACTGTCACTGAGGTGGTACCTTCAAAGGTGCATTTTCAGTGCCTGTGGTTAGGGAACATGAAACCAAAATCCATTGCAACTATTTTTTAAGTTGTTTTGACTACATACACTCTGTCTTGACTCCAAACTTCTTATTTTATTGTTCTATCTGAAAATAATAGGTTATGAAAAAAAAATAATAATAAAAAATAAAAAAATAAAAAAACTATCTACAGTACACAGTTGGGCCTTAAACCACTGTTGTACCCTTGAGGACACATTTACACTGTTTGTACCTCAATAAATGAACAATGTGCCTTTTTCTGACAGTGTGTGATAATTTTCTATGTGGAATTAATAGCTCAAAAAATATTATCTGTATAAATAACTTATACGTTATCATATTATCTGTTACCCATTTTATGTATGTGCATTTTTTTAATGTGATGGTACCTTGAGTCTTTCTCTTTCTAAGAGTGACTGTGAAGAATAAGAGTCCAATGAGAAGCAGCAGCAGAATCACAGACACAGCAGTGATCACAGAGGAAACTGGAAATGCAGAATCATAAATATAGACTCAATCACAACAATAATCTGATTATTCACAAGTGATCTAACTGCTAATATATTAGCAGATGTTTTTTTGTGTACTGTACATTAAGTATAATACCTGTAAAAGACAGTGAAGATGATGTGGTTTTAGAAGATGAGGATGCGGTTAGTTTTGTGGTCAGTGAACTGGTGTTTGTTGATACATGTGGTAGAATATCTGAAGCAGAAAAACAAATGTCAGATTGTCGATAATTACCTGTGCAGGTGCCATTATTGCTGACCACCGTTTACCAGGATATATACAATATGAATATTATACCTGTTGAAGTCTTAAATGAGGAATTCGTTGTAGATGTAGACGTTGTAGAGGAGGTTGTTTCTGATGTTGCTGTTTTGTTAATGGAGATGAAGAAAAATGAAAAAAAGCCTTTTCAGATGTCATGTCATATTGGTTTTATAGAAATTATGATAAACTATAACCTCTTTCACATTCATAACAACCATTTTTTATGTGACGATATGCGCAAAATATGTCAGCCGCACATTTTGAATGAAACTGCTTTCATTAGACTGATTTCGATATTAGACTTCGGATTACAAGTTCACTGCAGTTCAATAAGGGAATCTTTAGATATAAAGCTGTACACTTCTTTCCTCTAGACTGCATAAATATGTAGATGAAATGGTCTAAATGTATTCATGTAAAACCATATCTGCTCACCAGTAACTCTGAGGTTGATCTGTGTGATATAAACCTTGTATCCATGGTCAGATGTCCAGTCTGATTCAGCTCCACACCAGTATTCACCAGAGTCTCCCTCAGTCAGACTGTTGATGATCACAGTGAAGATCTGCTTTCCATCATCATGTAGATACAGTTTTCCCTCATTTATCCATCTTCTGCTCTCATTAACTGATGTTTTATTATTACAGTCAGCAGTGTCCACTCTCCTACAGAGAAACTTGGGTGTCACTGCTGTGGGATTGTGGGTATTTGCAGCTGATGTTCACACTTCCTCTTACATGGCCAGGCACACTGATGCTCTTCTCATAGCCTTTACCTGTTAGTCATAAACAATCAGATGAAAACACTTAGAATCACCTTCACAGTGTATACAGAATATAGATATATATATAATATACTGATTTGGTCTGACTTTACAGGGACATTTGAGTTTTACTAGTCCTTATTTATGCACTTGATTATGACTCATTCCTCTGCATATTCTGTCACTTCCCTGTAGGCCACACTCTTCTTCTGAAAGTATTTTCAGATTATATTTATGAGTCAGGAAGCATATATATATAATTACTCTACATCTTAACACACGGACATAGAGGAAGTCCATATTCAGAGTCACTAGAAACAGAGTAAATAACTTGGAATTAGAGACGAGATCTGCTAACATCATAGTGAAGGTCTCACAACTTCCATTAAACAAATGCCAAGTACTGTAAACACAATCTGACAATCACACAGTCATCATCACACATGAACAACTACTGTAGGTAAACACATTTCCACAGCTTGGATTAAAGAGGATTAATCCAGTCAGAGATGAGAAGGTCTGATAAAGAGTCTCTGAAGAGAGCGAGTCTGTAATGAAAAAAGCTCTTTGTCCTTCATGGGACTTTGTACATTCATCATCACTGTAGCTGATAATAATGATGCTAAATGTTTAAGAAAATAAACAGATGCAGTGGTAAAAGACAGACTCACCTTCCTCTACCTTCAGTTCCACTGGTGTGTAGACGTCAATGGCCAAATATATATCAACTCCACACTGGTACGTTCCAGAATCCTCTACAGTGAGCTCTCTGATCGACACCCAGAACTCTGCAGCTCTGGTGTCATCAAACAGTGAGAATCTTCCACTATTTATCCACTTATTTTGAACTCCTGTCCTGATCTGGTCAGCACAGTTTAACCATGAATCCTTACAGAGATATTTTTTGTTTGATGTGTATTTTCTCTCATATCTACACTTGATGAGGACTCCTCCTCCTGAATATCCTGTCACTCCCTCTGATTCTCCTCCACCTACTAAAAGAGGACAAATGTCCATCTGAGTAAAGGCTTCATTTGACTCTGCTGATAGTGATGATTATTTAGAAGAGCATCTCCTTACCTGGAATCAGGAAGAGGGTGAAGATGAGGAGGATCTTCATTCTGAGTTCAGGTTCACAGATCAACACCAGCTCAGACAGATATCAGAGGCCCTGCAAGTTGTTCTTTGTCTCTGTGAGATTCTGTAACTGTGCTGCACCTTCATCTGCGTCTTAAATAGAAACTGATGTCTTGCCCACTTCCTTTATTGACAGCGCGCAATAGAGAGCTGAAAACCTCTCAGCAAGATGATGTGTAAAATATGTATAATCTAAGTTTTTATTATTATTATTATTATTATTATTATTATTATTATTATTATTACTACTACTAAATGCTTTTAAATGCTTTCAGTGAAATTCACTGCACTGAGGTAAACATGTGTTTTTGAGTTGTGTTGAAGCAGCTTCGTGTTTTTATTCATTAGTGTCTAGCCTGTTGCCATGTCTACATTACTGTTTAATTATACTGAGGTATATCAGTCCATCCATTGGATTTATATTGCTTGCAAATATAACAAAAAAGATCTCCTCAATATCTTGGATTTTCTTCTACAGAACAATGAGATTAGATGGAAAAACAAATAAAAACTTAGTTCAAGTCTCAGATGTTTCTCCTCAGAAAAAGACCTCAATAATTTTGTGTGACTCCACTGTTGAATATTCATATTCATGTCATTGTTTCTTCACTGGTCTGTATCAGAAGGCCTCTACTGCCATCTAGAGCACAATGTAGTGTAACAGCAGCACTGAGCAATCTTTGCTGTGTTCTCTATGTAATACAAATGTGATTAAAGAGGGAGATTAATCACTTTATGATAACAATAGTTAGTAAGACATCTATTAGCTCTTACTTTACAATTGACTAATAATCAGGTATTAAGAGTTATTCATCATCATTTAATATATACACGGTACTTTACATGTATGTTGCTGCCGGACCTTGTATCTCCATTTTTCCATTATTTAATTTTTGATGTAATTTGAAAAACACCAGCTGCTCTTTACATTGTGAGAGTTTCATGATGGATGGATCAACAGAAATGGTTTAACTTCCACTGAAATTAAAGAGTTTTTTTCTTCTTCTAAAATGTACAATGTTGGGGATATGGTTATGATTAAATATCAACAATATGTTAATATGTCAAAATTCTAATTGATTGCTGATTGTTTTTTAAAACAATCACTGCAAACAAAACCTTAAATGGGTGCCACCAGACAAAGAAAATGCTAAATATTTAATTATTTAATGACTAGTCAATTATTATGTAACAGCTAAAAGAAATACCATAAACTATCAATTTCATGAAGCACAGATGCAGAAAGGAGTTTTAAACTAGAGGTGCTGAAATTTTAAGCTGCATATTTGTGATGTGAATGATGATGTCATGTAAAATGATTTGCTTTTTTCATATGAATATTTTTGATAAATTACATTAAGTGTCTAATTATTACTTGATAAGCTATGTGGCCAAAAGAATGTGGAGACCAATAAATCACACATATATGAGTTGGTTGGGCGTCCCCTTTAAAAACTATGGCCATTACTATAGAGTTGCCCCCCTTTATGGCTCTGACAGCCTCCACCATTCTGGAAAGCTTTCTATAAGATTTTGGAGTGTGTCTTTGGGAATTTGTGCTCATTCAGTCAAAAGAGCATTTGTGAGGTCAGACACTGATGTTGGATCAGTGGGCCTGACTCACAATTAATGTTCCAGTTCATCCCAAAGGTATTCAGTGGGGGTGGGGTCAGGGCTCTGTGCTGGACACTGGAGTTCCTCCACAACAAACTGGTCAAATCATGTGTGTAAAAAACAAAAACAAAAAAAAAACTGTATTCATCTAACAGATTACAAAACTCACAGAACCTTATTTTTAAGCATACCAAACAGAGCTAAAGGTTATTTTGTCATCTTTAATGACAATTTCTAAAACTTGTGACATACAATATTATCCAAAACAAATATTAAACCATTTACACACTTCCAGAAGTAAACGTTTTTTTTTTGTGTGAAAAGAGACATTCATTTTGGTGGAAATGCATGAACATACAAGTCTAAATTGAAAACGTATCTGCTTCTGCTAATGTTTGACTGTAGCATAATCACATGAGTCCTCATCATTACTAAAGGCTACTCTGGTAACAGCATCGTTAGATCTGCCTACCTTCTTCCTGAAATTCACTGTTGCGTATGTTGGATCTTCCGTAGATGTTCCAGCTGAATGCTGAGTGCCACTTGCTGAGGAATCAGAGAGAATTGTGGGTAACTGAGCTGTGGAGTAGATGACCTGATCAGGAGAGTTTGATGGTAACTGAGCAGAAGAATAAACAGAATTTGAGAAATCACAGTTTGAGGGTAACTGAACATTTTCATAATCAGTTTGAGAAGGTTCTGAGGGGTTTGTGGGTAACTGGACATTTTCATAGTCAGTTTGAGAAGGTTCTGATGGGTTTGTAGGTAGTTGAGCAGTAGAGTAGATTGTGAAGACTCCAGCATCTGATGTAGGAAGGTGTCTACTGTCTTTAATCTCTTCATAGTTATTGAAAAGATGGAAAACCTAAGAGCAGAGATATAAATAATAACAATGACAAAGTTAGAGTGTTTTTGAAGTGAACTACACTAGTTTACTCCTGGTGGAGCAGTTAGACTGATGTGAAGTCAGGTAGTTTCAGTTTTCAGTCTTTGATTATTCATTTGTAAACATGTCATTGGTAGAAATGTTGTTTTCTGGGAGCCTTTTTTGAAATGGATCTTCACTCACCCTGTGGACAGCTGAGAATCCTTTGAAGGATTGGCCTTGTGTTGTGCCTGGGTCTGAGGAGAACCAATGTATACAATATCAATTACTTAAAAGATAAACAGGCTGTACAACTGCCCTGAAAATATTATTGTTATTTTGCTTTTTCTTTTGATGCATGATCATTTATAGCCAGAAGAGGGCAGCATCTGTCCATCACTGTTAGTCCACTGGGGCCTAATAAATGTGTTTAATGATCCATTTATCTGAACATGTAGATAAAAAAAAATCCATGTGAAGTGTCTTAAGAAAACTAATAACATGTCCAGCCACTGTCATAATTTGTCATAAATGAGCCCAACACCACATCTTTACTCAACATTGTTTCTATGGTAATTTTCTATAGTGAAATTAATAGTTCAAATAACTATGTGTGCATAAGTCATAAGCATTTTATATATGTGCATGTTCTGTGTGTGATGGTACCTTGAGTCTTGCCTCTCTTTCTAAGAATGACTATGAAGAATAAGAGTCCAAACAGAAGCAGCAACACAATCACAGACACACCAGAGACCACATAGGAAACTGGAAATAGTGGTGATGGAGAAACAGAATCATAACTCAGTCACAGATTATAATCTGATCATTCTGAAGTGATCAGACTAACAGTAGAAGAGCAGATGTTCTTTGCTTGTACATGAAGTGTAATCACCTGACAAAGAGGACGGTTTGGTTTTAGGCATTGAGGATGTGGTTGGTTTTGTGGTCAGTGCACTGATGTATGTTGATGACTGTGGTAGAATTTCTGCAGAAAGAAAGTAAAGGTCAGGCTGCCCTATTATCTGAGCACATTATTACTGACTGACTACAGTTTAACAGGATATATACAGTATGTATATTATACCTGTTGGAGTCTTAAATGAGGATTTCATTGTAGTTGTACATGTTGTAGAGGCATTTGTTTCTATGGTCTGTGCAGTGGGGCTTGATGGTGATGTTGAGGGTGATGTTGTTCCTGGTTTTGTTAATGGAGATGAAGTAAAAAGGAAAATAAAAGCTTTGATTTGTCATCTTATATTGTCATTAGATAACCCAAATCTCTTATATAACAAATAATGTTCTACATAACATACAAAAACCTCTTTCATCTCTACAATAATAATTTATGTCATCACAGCCTCCTTATGTCAGGGGTGTCCAGTCTTACCCTCAAGTGGCTGACCTGGCTGCAGGTTTTCAGTTATTTTGAAGACCAATCAACTGATTAAACAGGCTGAATAACCATAATGCTGTATACTTCTAACTTCCAAACTCCATAAATATATAGAAGAAAATTTCTGACAGTAAACAGATTAATTTAATTCATATCTACTCACCAGGAACTCTGAGGTTGATCTGTGTGATATAAACCTTGTATCCATGGTCAGATGTCCAGTCTGATTCAGCTCCACACCAGTATTCACCAGAGTCTCCCTCAGTCAGACTGTTGATGACCACAGTGAAGATCTGCTTTCCATCATCATGTAGATACAGTTTTCCCTCATTTATCCATTTTCTGCTCTCTTTAACAGATGTTTTATAATTACAGTCAGCAGTGTCCACTCTCCTACAGAGAAACTTGGGGTCGTTCTTGTCGGATTGTGGGTATTTGCAGCTGATGTTCATATTTACTCCTACATGGCCAGTCACCCTGATGCTCTTCTCATATTTTGGATCTGTCAATTGTAAATTATCACCTTCACAGTTTATAAACAATATCACTGAACTACTCACTGCATATTCTGTCACTTCTCTGGACGTCACACCTTTTGACTGAAAGTATTCTCAGATTATATTTATGAGTAAAGGATGTTGAGTCAGGAAGTTTGTCTATAGTTACTCTATAGCTTAACACATGAATTCAGAGGACGTTCATTTTCAGAGATGATAGAAACAGACTAAATAACTTTGAATTAGAGGCGAGATCTGCTAACATCATAGTGAAGGTCTCACAACTTCCATTAAACAAATGCCAAGTACTGTAAACACAATCTGATAATCACACCATCATCATCACATATGAACAACTACTGTACGTAAACACATTTTCACAGCTGGGGTTACAGAGGATTCATCCAATCAGAGAAGAAGAGGGTCTGATAAAGAGTCTTTGAAGAGATTGAGTCTGTGATAATACTGGTAAAATAATGAGTATGTTTTTTTGTACAGTGCTGTATCGAACAAGGTTTCTGCTTTGTCCATTATGAGAGTTTGTACATTCATCCTTACCGTAGCTGATGTTAATGAGGCAGGATGTTTAAGAAAATGAACAGGTTTATTGGTGGGAGAGACTCACCTTCCTCTACATTCAGTTCCACTGGTGTGTAGATGTCAATAGCCAAACCTTTTTTTTCAACTCCACACTGGTACAGTCCAGAATCCTCTACAGTGAGCTCTCTGATCAACACCCAGAACTCTGCAGCTCTGGTGTCATCAAACAGTGAGAATCTTCCTCTATTTATCCACTCATTTTTAGTGTCTGTCCAACTTAGCTTAGACAGACAGAGCCATGAACCTTTACAGAGGTATTTCTGGTTTGATGTGTATCTTGTCTCATATCTACACTTGATGAGGACTCCTCCTCCTGAATATCCTGTCACTCTCTCTGATTCTCCTCCACCTACTAAAAGAGGACAAATGTCCATCTGAGTAAAGGCTTCATTTGACTCTGCTGATAGTGATGATTATTTAGAAGAGCATCTCCTTACCTGAAATCAGGAAGAGGGAGAAGATGAGGAGGATCTTCATTCTGAGTTCAGGTTCACAGACTAACACCAGCTCAGACAGATATCAGAGGCCCTGCAAGTTGTTTTTTGTCTCTGTGCAATTATGTAACTGTGCTGCATCTTCAGCTGCGTCTTAAATAGAAACTGATGTCTTGCCCACTTCCTTTATTGACAGCGTGAAATAGAGAGCTGAAAACCTCTCAGCAAGATGATGTGTAAGATATGTATGATCTAAGTTTTTTTTTATTATTATTATTATTATATTATTATTATTATTATTATTATTACTACTACAAAATGCTTTTAAACGCTTGCAGTGAAATTCACTGCACTGAGGTAAACAGTATTTTTGAGTTGTGTTAAAGCAGCTTTGTGTTTTAATTCATTAGCATTTAGCCTGTTGCCGTGTCTACACTACTGTTTAATTGTACTGAGGTATATCAGTCCATTCATTGGATTTATACTGCTTGCAAATATATGAACAAAAAAAGATCTCCTCAATATCTTGGATTTTCTCCTACAGAACAATGAGATTAGATGGAAAAACAAACAAAAAGCTTAGTCTAAGTCTCTCCTGCTGCTCAGATGTTTCTCCTCAGAAAAAGACCTCAATAATTTTGTGTGACTCCACTGTTGAATATTCATATTCATGTCATTGTTTCTTTACTGGTCTGTGTCAGAAGGACTCTACTGCCATCTAGAGCACAATGTGTGTAACAGCAGCACTGAGCAATCTTTGCTGTGTTCCTTATGTAATAGAAATGTGCTTAAAGAGAGAGATTAATCACTTTATAATAACAATAGTTAGTAAGACATCTATTAGCTCTTACTTCACAACTGAGTAATAATCAGGTATTAAGAGTTATTCATCATCATTTAATATATACACATTATTTTACATGTATGTCGCTGCTGGATCAAATCCTTGTATCTCCATTTTTCCATTATTTAATTTTTGAAGTAATATGCTCTTTACATTGTGATGGATCATCATGATGGATGGATCAACAGAAATGGTCCAAAATTACTGAAATAAAATCTTTTTACATTAACTTTCACTGAAATTTTAGCCTTTTCTTTCTTCTGCTAAAAGGCCCAATTTGGGCATATGGTTATGATTAAACATCAACAATATATTAATATATTTCAACATTTTAATTGCTGATTGCTGATTGGTTTTTAAAACAATCACTGCAAACAAAACATTAGTGGGTGAGACCAGACAAAATGCTAAATATTTAATTAGTTAATGATTAGCCAATTATCATATAACAGCTAATAGAAATGTTATAAACTATCACTTTCATAAAGCACAGATGCAGGAAAGAATTTTAAACTAGAGGTGCTGAAATTTTAAGCTGCATATTTGTGATGTGAATGATGATGTCATGCAAAATGATTTGTGTTTTTCATATGAATATTTTTGATAAATTACATTAAGCGTCTAATTATTACTTGATAAGCTATTTGGCCAAAATAATGTGGAGACCAATAAATCACACATATATGTGTTTGTTGGGCGTCCCCTTTAAAAACTATGGCCATTACTATAGAGTTGCCCCCCTTTATGGCTCTGACAGCCTCCACCATTCTGGAAAGCTTTCTATAAGATGTTGGAGGTGTCTTTGTGAATTTGTGCTCATTCAGTCAAAAGAGCATTTGTGAGGTCAGACACTAATGTTGGACGAGAGGGCCTGACTCACAACTGATATTCCAGTTCATCCCAAAGGTGTTCAGTGGAGCTGAGGTCAGGGCTCTGTGCTGGACACTGGAGTTCCTCCACACCAAGCTTGTCAAGCCATGTCTTTATGGACTTTGTGCACAGGGGCTCAGTCATGCTGGAGCAGGAAAGGCTCTCCCCCAAACTGTTCCCAGAAAGTTGGAAGCACATAATTGTCCAAAATGCTTGGTCTACTGAAGCACTAAGATTTACCTTCACTCGAACTAAGGGGTGCAAACCCTGAAAACCAGCCCCAGCCCATCATCCCTCCTCCACCAAACTTTACTATTGGCATTATGTATTCCAGTAGGTAGTGTTTGCCTGGCATTCGCCGAACCCAGATTGATCCATCAGACTGCCAGATAGTGAGGTGATTATTCACTCCAGAGAACATGTTTTCACTGCTGCAGGGTCCAGTGGTGGTGTGCTTTACTCCACTCCAGCCGACGCCTGGCTTTGCGCATAGTGATCCTGGGTTTGTGTGCAGCTGCTCTGTCATGAAATCCCATTTCATGAAGCTTGTGATGCTCAGTTTTTTTGCTGTGACCTCATGACAGGTTAAGTCACACAGTACATTTTTGCTTTAGTTTGCTTCATTGACATCAAACATTGTGACATACAGCTTACAAATTTGTTCAGTTCAGAATACTAAACTTCAGTTGTTCTATACATAATATTAACATTTTTGATTAAATGTCCATTTAATAAATATTTATCATCATATTTTCAAAATGCACTCTGTTATTTAACCTGGTGGGCTTGATTTTTCAGACTCTCTGCTGGTCTTCAGACTCTGAAAGACTGGATCTCATTGGTGAGTTGAGGAGTCTGGTAGACTGAATGATTGATTACTGGGGGAGTCTGGTAAACTGATTCTGATTGGTATGTGGAGGGATCTGATAGACTTAATCTGATTGGTGAGTAGGGAGTCTGATGGTAACTGAGCATGAGAATAAAGGGGATTTGAGATTTGTTAGGCTACATCTGACTGGCGGGGGGGGGGTCTGGTAGACTGAGTCTGATTGGTGAGTGGAGGAGTCTGATAGACTAAATCTAATTGGTGAGTGGAGGAGTCTGGTAGACTGAATCTGATTGGTGAGTTGAGGAGTCTGGTAGACTGAATCTGATTGGTGAGTGGAGGAGTCTGGTAGACTGAATCTGATTGGTGAGTGGAGGAGTCTGAAAGACTAAATCTGACTGGTTAGTGGAGGAGTCTGGTAGACTGAATCTGATTGACGAGCAGGGAGTCTGATGGTAACTGAGCAGGAGAATAAAGGGGATTTGAGAAATCACAGCTTGAGTTTAACTGGACATTATCATAAACAGTTTGAGAAGGTTCTGAGGGGTTTGTAGGTAGCTGAGCAGTACAGTAGACTGTAGAAGCTCTGGCATCTGAGACAGAAAGGTCTATAATCTCCTCATATTCAGATAGAGAAACCTATAATAAAAATACAGGTAAAGCATATTAATGAAAATTATATTACGTCAAGTGTATTTAAAGTGAACTCACCTATTTTACCTCTTTTAGTGCATTTAAACCAATCTTTAGTTTTCCCTTTATGTGCAAGTGAGGTGGATCAATTTTCCAGTTATTGAGGATTCATTATTAAGCATATCATTGGTGGAAACATGTTCCAGTAAGAACCTGTACTAACATACGGTTTTGACTCACCCTGTGGTCAGTTGCGGAACCTCTGAGTGATTGGCTTTGGGTTGAGGCTGGACCTGAGGAGAAACAATTCCGGAACATTCATCCATCCATCCATCATCTAAATCGCTTATCCTTCTGGGTCACGGTGGGGTGCTGGAGCCTATCCCAGCTGTCATTGGGCGGAAGGCAGGATACACCCTGGACAGGTCGCCAGTCCATCGCAGGGCAGACAGACAGACATATGCATTCACACACACACTCACACCCAGGGGCAATTTAGCATGTCCAATCAGCCTGACTGCATGTTTTTGGACTGTGGGAGGAAACCGGAGTACCCGGAGGAAACCCACGCAGACACGGGGAGAACAGGCAAACTCCACACAGAAATGACCCAGGTCACCCGGCCGGGAATCGAACCCAGGCCATTCTTGCTGTGAGGCGACAGTGCTACCCACTGTGCCACCATGCCGCCCTCCGGAACATTCAATCAGTTATAAAATAAGGGTTAATTTTGAATGTTATATGATATAAATATTATTAATTTCGTGAAAGATAAACAGGATGTAGAATTGATATGAGAATGTGGTCACAGTCCATTCTTACTGTATTTGTTTTGATACATGTTCATGTATAGCCAGCAGAGGGCAGCATTTGTCAATCACTGTTAGTCCACTGAGGCCTAGTGAAATTTTATTGACCTCTAATGACCTCTAATGACCTCTAATGAAAAAATCTGTGTAAAAAGTCTTGGGGAAACCAATAATTTGTTCAGTGACTGTATGTAATCATAGATAGATAGATATGCAAATAGCCATTTCTAAGGCTGTGCAAAATGTAAATAAAAACAAAATGCAATGATGTGCAATGATAAATCCTATATTTAATTGAAAATAGAACAAAAACAACATATCAAATGTTGAAACTGAAATGTTATTGTTTTAAATATATGCTCATTTTGCATTTGATGCCAACAACCTGCTCCAAAAAAGTTGGGACGGGGGCAATAAAAGGCTGGTAAAGTTGTGTAATGCTGAAAAAACACCTGGTGATTAATTGGTAACAGGTCCGTAGCATGATTGGGTATAAAATGAGCATCTCAGAGAGGCGGAGTCTTTCAGAGCACGACAAAGGAGACCCCGAACTGTTCAGCAGCTGAAATCCTATGTTAAGCAAGAACAGGAAAACATTTCACTATCAAAAATACAGCAGTGTCTCCTCAGTTCCCAAATGCTTACAGAGTGTTGTTAAAAGAAGAGGTGATGAAACACAGTGGTAAACATGTCCCCGTCCCAACTTTTTGGAATGTGTTTGTAGCGAACACTGGCTGAAACTTTACCCCCAAGCTGAGTGTTTACCTAACTTATCAACAACCCAAAAGTTAA